TTTAATACAAAAGATTTTAAAAAGAATGACATAATAATTTAAATTAATTTTTTTTAAAAAATTTTTTAATAAAACTTAAAATAGTTTTAATCAAAATTATTCTTTATATTTAATAAATAAAATTATTAATTTTAATAAAAAAAACTGAGTGACAGTTTTTTTGTTCCAAATTGTAGCTCAGGATTATCAAGTAAAAAACTGGTACCAGGAAAAAAGAGAAAAGTTTGTTAATAAGAAAAGACCTTGGCCAAATCAATCTTAAATGCCTTGACTTACCTTTAATAACATTAACTTTGGACTGGTGAAGCAACTGACTTGCCATTTTCTGGCCAAATAATGTCTTTTCTTGATTATAGTTAAAATAATGGATATAGTAATTATAGTAGAAATAGTTAAAATAGTTATTATAATTTTACTATAAGACTAACATGTATATAAGAAAAAAACCAAATATTTAATAAAAAGGGGAGCTTCTACAACAGAAACTAAGAGGTAATTTGAGTAATTGTTTCACCATGAATTATTGCACCTCAACCTTAGAAACCTTAGTAGTAGAGAAGGGTTTGGATAGCCCCTTACATTATCGGTGTCACTTTGTATTTTTCACGTTTTACTAAAGACGACAGAACTTATCGCTCACGATATTAAGCACAACGCGCATGATACCATGAGCTTGGTAATCGTGACGCAAGAATGGTAACCGAGATCCAAAGGATTTTGACATTGATCAACATTTCTACTGAGAGACTTAATGAGATCGAACAAGTTCTTCAAACCCACGATAGCAATTTCAGATTGAAACTCTCCAAAGAACCAAGGAGACTGAATCCGATCAACAGAGCGTGGCGAGTCAGGCTTCAAATCATTCCTCTACAAGCTCAGGTCAATTGTCGTTCACGGGTATCAGCTTAACCGCCTGGGCCAATTTAAGTGAATTTTTGATCCGATCAAGACCGAAAATTAATACACTTTGGAAGATGAGCCATACTGTAGCAATAGACATTCGTAGACTTGGAGGGAAGGATTTTATGAAAGAAATATAAAATGTATTAAATTCAGACAGAGAACCGTATTAAATAATAATTTGTACTACGCATATCATCATTAAAAACACAAACACGCGATTTTTTATTTTATTTACACGTAAAATAATAATGACCGCTAGACTATCAAAAGAAACAATTTCATTTCTTTATCATCCAGGTAAGTATTTCTCGTTGCTTTAATAAGCTTATTTAACCTCACTGCTAATACTAGCTTCTTCTAAGAATACTGGAATAAGCCTCTTGGGGAATGGAGTTGACAATTGGGATTTGTATTACATTAAAAAAGTCCCGAAGCAAACAGACGTGAATCTCATAATTCGCTTGGATCTGAGCTAAAAATTATTCTTGCATTACTACCGGAAAAAGGACCTCAGTATCAGTGCGCAAGAAGTTTAAAGAAACGACTAAAAGTTAAGCTTTACTCCTCTAACATATTTGCACAAATTATCCTCCTGCGCCCGCTGGCCGAGTGACTTTGTCACAGAAGGCAACCGGTTCGCTTGCCTGAAGTGGAGTGTTGATTGTTGTGCATGTTCAAATGAAACCACACCCCTGCGCCCGCTGGCCGAGTGACTTTGTCACAGAAGGCAACCGGTTCGCTTGCCTGAAGTGGGGAATGTGCTGATGGCACGTGTGGTGTATGACATTTTGCTTGCAGTATACATTGTGATAATTACAATATTTTAATTAAATATTTTCATCTTTAAACTAGGAAGCCGACAATCTTCAAACCAACATTGATTTATGGAATGATATGAAAAAATTAGCGAAATCGGAAGTTAACAACAGAGTGAACATGGTAAGCATGGTTATGATATTTTTTGTATTAACATATTTTCTTATTGTGATTTCAATATCCAGCGTAATCTAGAAAATGTGGTAATAAGTACGGGCATATCGGCTGGTATTCAGCACTTTGAAACATATAATTCTCAATTGTTGATTTCCAAACAATATGCCGGCATGAGGTTTGATTCGGCGGAACAAGAACGAAAGAGAAAAGCAGGCGAAAACAACGAGAAAGCCTCTCCTCGCGATCATACATCTCCTTTACGTGACGATTTTTTTGATGGTTATGGCGAAAGCGAGATAGATGATAGCGGAATAATTGAATGGGAATTTGACAGTGCAATTCAAACATGGCTTGAAAAAGCAATACTGTATCATAAAGAATTAATTTCGGAAGAAGATGAGGATAAAAGAATCAAAGATTCATCAAAGTAAATGCTTTATAAATGTCATTTTTGCACTTTTTTTCACATGATTACGTTAAAGTTAAACTTTTTAAAAATAATAAAAAGGTCGATATGATGGAGAATTATAGATGGATCAGATTTAGATGTAACCAGAGAATATCTCACAGAAGAAGAATTTTTAGAATTACAAGAGGTTTTAGCTAATGTACTCGAATTAGGAACTACAATTAATGATTGGACAATATTGAAACCACAAGCAGAGAAGTGTTTACGAGATTATCAAAGGTAAATGGTTATAATTTTATGAAAGTTGTTATATACTTCATTTGTAATTATGTAAATTTAATCACATACTCTGAACTCAGCTTAATAATGATCAGATTAAAGCAATTGGGGAAAAGGTTCTTCCCGAAGGAACACATGGTGCATTAAAGAACTAAAAAATTTTCTAAAAACGAATTCTCAAGAGTTTGATTTTGACTTGTTTGGCGATTCAAACAACCAAACAAATGATGTGGAAACAGTTGAAATCGATTACTTAGATGAAGACGTAACTTAAATTTTTGATTTTATAAGCTTTACGTAAGTACTATACATCTACTGTATGTCAATGAATTTCATTACTTGCTTACAGCTTGTTTAAACTTCTTTTATCAGTTGTGAAATGATTAAGAGAAAAATTCCAAAAAGGAAAAATACAGAAAGAGATATTGATGTTTTTATGAAAAAATTTATATTTTTGTGCTTAAATAATATCATGGATCGACACTTGTAAGATTTTCTATTTTTTCTGTCTGCACTAATGCACGTGTTTCTTGTAAATAACGAATAAGTGGTGAACCAGTTTCTCGAGCTTCTAGAGCACGTCGTGACAAGGTTCACGAAGGGGATGAGGGATTTCATCTGGATTTGCTTTTTTGTGTATGTTAAATTATACGTTAAAATGTCAGTTTGAATCATATACTAACATAACTTGCAGAATCATGAATTAGGAGCAAAAGATTCTTGGGGCCGTGAATTTTCTCTCTGCGAAAGAGCTGGTTCATTAATCGATAATACAAGGAAAAATTTTTCTAATACACTGAAGGTTAAAAAAACATTAAGAGACATGCACACGTCATTAATGAAATCCATTGCATCCGTTAGCAATAAAAGGGTGTCAAAGGAAGTACTACGATCATTTCCGAAGTTATTGATGCCTGGGCTTGTTTCTTCACATTTTTTTTTACAAGCAGTGTTAATAGTATATGTTGGTGCTGGGTTTTATGTTTCCACTGATTTGGCCGAGTTAGAAATTCCTACCGATTATGACGAACTTGATAAAATTTTAAAGGTCGTACGTATTATTTTACAAATCAAGGTTAATAATATTCTTTCTAATACTATTTATGTGAATTTTATGTTATATCTTACACAGTTTCTTTATGTAGAAGCTACAAAAAAAAACGATGTTAGGATATAAAATCATTAAAGAGAGAGCTGAAAAAGAAAAATTTATGAAGGATAAAAAGCTAATGAATGAACATATAGAATATCCTCCACAGAAAAAGAAACAGAAACAGGAGAAGAAAAAAAAGACAACGAAGAGGTCTCAATGTTTATAATATTATATTGTTTTACAGAATGTGGAAAAATGAAAACATTAATTTTGGCTTCACTAAAAAAATCATGATATTGCTACCAGACCAAACTTACTACACCATCTCCCAAAAAGAACGCAACACTTGATTGTCGATCTTAATTGCTAAAATTTTAAGCAGATTAAATCCGATCAAGACGAAATTTATAGATAGTGTATAAAATGTAAAATTAAATTAATAAAAAATTTTCTAAAAATTTATTGTTGCAATTTTTGTTTTTTTCAAAAAATTCATTTTTATACTTTATACAGTATATTAATCTATAAATTATTGGCTTTTTTTTTATATTATTTCAAATATTTTCTATTGGATTTAAATCTGAATATTTTGATAATTTAATTTTATTATTTTATAAATATTTTTAAGATTATTATCATATTAAAATATAATATTTTTGAAAATCAAATTATATCTTAATAAATACTGTATATTAATTCTTTTTTTATAAAGTTTAATATTAAGATTTTCTTTGATTTTTATTAGATATTTATATTATAATAAATAAAATATCATATGTTAACTTAGTTATAAGAATTATATATGGATTTTTTAAAGATTTTACAATTTTTCTTAAATAATATTTATATTCTTTAGCTTTAAAAAATCAAAATTATTTTAAATATATTTTTTTTAAGTAGATAAGCAAACCTATTACTTGACCTATATTTAGCAACAATATTATTTTAAAATTTTTTTAGTATTAATTATTTATAATAATATTAGTAAATAGATTAACATTTAGCTTATTATCACTAGTTGAAATTTGATTATTTAACAGTATGTCACTTGTCAATCATTTGATATATAATAAATAATTTGTCAAGCATTTATCAAACATTTATCAACAATTTGACAATCATTGTTAAATTGGAATATGCCAAATTATTTTTAAATGTTTAATGAATCTTGATAAATTATTTATTGTATACTAAATGATTGACAAGTAATATACTGCTAAATAATTGAATTTCAACTAGTGTATATAATTTGTACTCAAGAAATATTATTTTTTTTTAAATATATATTTTGTAATAAATAAATAAATAAATAGAATTTATCTATAGAAAAAAAAAAAATCAAAATCTAGTTTTTAATTTTTTATAATTTAATTTTTATATATTTTTATAAATTTTAACAAATTTTTTGTATTGTATTTAAAAAAATTTATTATTATTACTATTATTTTAAGGTAAAAGTACAGATTCATGGTTTTTTATTTGATAAGTATCTAATATCATTAGTCTTTGTAATATAAGAACCCACATAAGTCAGTATATTATATACAGTATAAGTTATAAATTTTTGAAATTGGTTTTTTTAATATAATTTTTTTAATAATTATTTAAATATTATAAAAATTTATAAAAATATTTTTGAAACTATAGTATAAGGTTACTTAAGAACATTTTTAACATTTTATATTGTGTTTTTATATTTAAAATTTATTTTTAATATAGACTAACAAATTGATAGAACAAATTCACTAAAGTTTTATATATAAGTTAATATAAAAACATAGTACAAATTTTTAAATTTTTACAAAAAAATGTAATATTTTAAAATTTGTTTTTGTTTATTTTATTATACAATGAAAAATTATCTATTTTATATTAAATTTTATAAATCATTTGTTTATAATCTAAAAAAAAATTTTACTTAAGCTTATTTTTATAAAATATCTTAATAAAATTTTTTTAAAACATTTTTTGAACATAAATTTTTTGATTTTCTTAATATAAAAATTTAGTATAAAAAATATTTTTAAAATATAAAAAAAGTTAAGTTTTTTTTTATTATTTCATAAAAACTTATTTGTTTTATATAAAAATTAAAACTTATTTTTTTTTAAGTTTTTTAAAAGATTTTTGTTTAAGCTTTACTTATAAAATAACTTAATAAATTTTTTTAAAAATATACTTGT